ACCTGGATTCCATGTACAGAAGCCTCTCTCTGCTTACCAGATGGGAGTGAAGTTACCAGCCCAGGAAAGCCGGCAGTTCTGGATGTGACCAGCAGATGGCAAAAGGGGCTGCATGTGGCAGGGTCGCTCCACCCTCCTGGGTCCAAGGCAGCTGCTTCTCTTTTGGGCTGCTCCATCTCTGCAGCTAGCTCCACCCGCTGCTTTGCAGTTTCTAGTTGTGGCCCCCTTGGGAGGTAGACCAGGACAGTTGTCCCACTACTCACCTGCCTCAAGGCTCGGTTCGGCCATCTGGTCCACCCCAATTCCACTCTGTTTAGTTCCTGAGTCTTTAGGAACCTCACCTGTCCCCTTGGAACAAACCAGACAGGGCACAGACAAGCAGGGACGAGCCAGATGGAGCCACAGTGGAGCCAGGAGAAGTTGGATGCACTGAAGTCCAGCGGGTCCTGGTCAGCTGATCTTTTCTATTGAGAAGAAACACTTGCACAACGCACCTATGCTGCTCTGCCTTGCAGAGCTCAGCCCCATTTCCTCACTGTCTTGGAGAAAGGAGCCCCCCAAACCCTTGCCACCCTGGAAAGCAGAGCTCTACCCCCACCCCATCAATTCACTGCCTTCCTGTCTCCTCTCACTTTGCAGGAGGGAGGGACCCAGCTCTTTGGAATACTGCAACCGAAGGGGAAAAGGGCCCAAGGGAGGGTGGATCAGGTTGGCCCTGTGGTGGAGGATGAAAGAGTGAAAGGAGCAGAAAACCCAGGACACAGAGCAGCGCCAGAGAGAAAAGAGCAGGATTCAGATGAAGATGCATAGGGAGGAGAAAGGGTCTTCTGCTTCGTGCTCATGGTGCACTTCAAATTTTCTTTAAAAAAAGTAACTGTAATTTACACCCTATAAGTTTTACTCTAAAATTTATTCCATGTATAATTCAATAATTTTTAGCAAATTTGCAGTGTGCCACCATTACTAGAACCTGTTTAGAACTTCTCCTTAAACTTAGCTTTGACGTTCTTCTTTTTTTTGTTTTCCAGTACTGGGGTTTGAACTCAAGGCCTCACACTACTAGGCAGGCATTCTACCACTTGAGCCACTCCACCAGCCCATTTTTTGTGTTGGGGTTTTTCAAGATAGGGTCTCTCGAACTATTTGCCCAGGCTGGCTTTGAACCGAGATCCTCCTGATCTCTGCCTCCTGAGTAGCTAGGATTATAGGCATGGGCTACTGGCACCAGTTTGTTGACATTATTTCTAAGTGAGTTTGTCTATAAAGTCCCAGAGTCACTTTGGGGCCCATTACCAGCCCACTCCATCAATGAACATTTTATTTATTTATTTATTTTGCAGTACTGAGAATTGAACCCAGGGCATTGAGCATAGTAGGCAAGGGCTCTACTGCTTCTGTCTTTTTGTTTTTGTTTTATTTGGGTGTCAATATCTGTCCCTGGTCTGACCTTGAACTAATTATCCTTCTGCCTCCCCCTCCCAAGTAGCTTGAGATTGTAGGCATGAGCCACCATGATTGCTGCGTGTATGTGCGTGCGTGCATGTGTGTGTGTGTGCTGGGTGATCAGAGGCCCAATGCTGCCATTACTTTCTCTTGCATGTCCATAGACTACCTGTCTTCGCCCAAACTTTTTTTTTTTTGGTGGAGTTGGAGTTTGAACTCAGGGCTTTGCACTTGCAAAGCAGGTGCTCTACCATTTGAGCCACACTTCCAGTCCATTTTCTCTGGTTATTTTGAAGATGGGATCTCTGGAACTATTTGCCAGGGCTGGTCTTGAACCACAATCCTGTCAACCTTAGCCTCCCAAGTAGCTAGGATTGCAGGTTGGAGTCACCCGTGCCTGGCCTGGATCTATTTTTTTACTGGTGTATAAAATGATGTGATGTAGTAATGTGCACCAAATTTTCTTGGTTTTTTTAGACAAGGTATGTAACACAGGCTGACCTCCATCTCGTGAGTCTCCTGCCTTGGCCTCCTGAGCCCTGGGATCACACTGTGTGCCACCATACCTGGTAGGTGCACCAAGTCTTAAGTGTTCAGCTGGATGGATTGCACATGTTTAGCTCTACCCCTTCCTTCTCCCTGGTAAGTAGAGTTTGGAAGAGCAAGAGAGGCCTTCCCTGTACCTATGCTCTGGGAGGTGTGCTGAGCTCTGAACCCTTTCTCCAGTTCTGTGGGGAGCCTGAGGTTGTGGGGTCCTATGTGGTACCTGGAGCAGGAGGGTATGGCACCCAGGCACAGGTGATCAGATGCAGAAATGGATACTGAGGGAGGCCTAGAGGGGCAGGAGTGTCTTGGAGAAAGTGGTGTGTGAGCCTTGAGGAGGTGAGCAGGGACACGGAGGAGCTAAACACACAGACGTGACAGCAAAGAGTCATCCATTCCCTTCCTGCTGGCGATGGATAGCTACTGCACATGCCCCAGGCCTACAACTGTGACACAGAGATGCTCCAAGGCCCTCTCTCCTGGTGGGGCCTAGAGCAGATCTGGTGGGGTGGTGGGCTCTGCTTGGGCCTCACCTGGAGCCTGTTGGGTCAGGCCTCCTTCCTGGCCCATGTCTTCAGGGTAGAGTAAGGAGGAACAGCACCATGAGCAGTGGCCATGGGGGCTGGAAGCCTTAGGGCAGCAGGGGCTCTTGGGGACTGAGAGATGCACTGGCTCCTTAGGGTCTGCTAGCTGGAGTTGATTCCCCAGAGATAGGCAGGGGAGTGGGGCAGGGGAGTGGGACACAGACAGTCCCAGAGGACCAGTAAAGAGACAGGATGGGGCCTCCACAGCTGGTCTCACCATCTTCCAGGGAAGAGAAACCAGAACATTCCAGGCGTCAGGCTGCCCCTGTCACCCCTCCCCTGACAACTTTGTCTTGCATATACTGAGGTCTTTTGCCTCTGGGCCTTGTGGTTTTTAACCCCAAGCTTTGTACATTTGGCCAAAGCAGAAGCTCTGGGAGTAGGGGCGTTCAAGAACCGTCATGCACTCACTCAACTATCAGACTGTCCTTCCCAGTGCGAGATCTTAATCACAAGAACCGCCATGTGCTCAATCAACTGTCAAACTGTCCTTCCCAGTGCGAGATCATAATCACACAGAACTGCCACTTGCTTCTCAGCACTTGGGGCCCAGCCTCTGAGCTTCTTCCAACAGTTCATCCACACCTCCCATCCTTTTGTGTGTCCAGTGTGCAGGACTCACGGCTCCCACCCATCATCACCAGCACCCTTCCCACTGGCCTGTGGTTCCTGTGTCCACACTGGGAAGAAGAGGCCCCCTTGCATCAGAAGTTTTGTGGCAGCTATGGGACTCCCTAAGAAAGGGGTTCAGTCCTGTGGCCCTCAGGTTCCTCTTCCTTCCCCTGTGTCTGGTCCAGTGATAGGCATTAGGGAGTTGCTGGAAAGTGCTACTTCCTTAGTGTTCCCATGTCCCCTGCCCTGTCTTGTGTCTTCCTCTGGGCTGTGAGCAGGTGGGGTAACGGGAAGGGCGTGGCAGGGACTGACTCAGGGCCTTTGCAACAGTGCTTTTCCCTGTCCCAAAGAAGAATCATATTGGCAGATATTTGCAAAGCGCCCTCTGATCTATGGAATCTGATCTCCTTATTAAAAATAGAGACATTGAGCTGGGCGCTGATGGCTCACGCCTGTAATCCTAGCTACTACTCAGGAGGCAGAGATCAGGAAGATCGAGGTTCGAAACCAGCTTGGGCAAATAGTTTTTGAGACCCTATCTCAAAAAAACCCATCACCAAAAAGAGAGCTGGTAGAGTGGCTCAAACATGAGGCTGTGAGTTCAAACCCCAGTGCCACCAAGAAAAAAAAAAGAGACCCTTCCCCTGGGAATGTCTTAGGACATTAAGTGATACCTCACATTTGAGCGTTTTCATAATCACTGCTCCCAATTTGTTCTCATACCTGAACTTGCCTGGATACTCAAGCCCACAGCAGTGCCTTCTGGATCATGGGCAGCTTGAAAAACACTGAACATAATACCTCCTTCATTTTCAAGTTCAGCTCAACATGGTCAATATCCAAAGCACCTTGGGTCTTACTGAGATTTAGTTAATCTATGATGGGATTGTCCTAGACTTTTTTTTTTTAAATTGGGATGGGGGTTTCTCAATATATTGCATAGAATTGGCCTTCAATTTCTAAGCTCAAGGAAGCTTCCTGCCTCAGTTTCCTGAGTAGCTGGGATTACACCCATAGGCCACTGAACTCACCTGTCCTAGACATTTTTCCCAGGTCTTCCAGGCTCTGTCCTTGAACCTTCTCCTGGGGCAGGAGGAAAGTGTGAAAATCCCAGCGGGACCTCACTGCTAGCTCAGGGCTCCCTATGGGAAGATACTCAGATTTAATAACTGGAAGCTGTCAGGTGACATGGTACATTGGGATCAGAGTCTCCCATGCTTGAGTGGGCCATTCTGTGCAAACTAGGGGTACTTACCACAGCATAAGTGTGTGTAAGTGTGTAACTGTGGGTGTGGAGTTTTCACAGATAAGGGGACATACAGGCCCCTGCAGGTCTAAGGGGGTTACATAGGAAGGGAGATCACAGCCTGAAGACCTCCTGGTCAAAGTGAAGACATATTTCCAAGTCCAGAAACCATTCAGGGATTCTAGAGACATTGTGTTAACTCGGGGGACAAAGGCAGTTCCCCAGGATGGCCTCATGGTAGGCACTGCCTACCACTTGTCCCTCACACAGGGTTACATCCTGACCACAGGGGAAGAAGAGTGACTGGGCCCTGACCAGAAGGGAACCTGACCCTGCAGTCTCAAGGGTGTGAGAACAGGAGGGGGCTGCGGGGGATCAGGCCTGATCTTCCAGGGCCAGGTGGAGGCCTTGACACTGGGAAGCCACGGGACCTGCCCACCACCTGGGATCATCTCAGCCAGCCTAGGCCGCTTGGCTCCCTCAGCTTCCTCTACTTCTCAGCTTCCTCCACTTTCTCACAAGCCCCAAGAACAGAAGCAAGAGAAGTCAAACGAAGAAACAGCAAGGCACAAAGAAAAGCAGAAGTGGGAGGTTTGGAAATTGACCCTCCCCCAAGGGACTGACTGTGGCCTCAGCTCCAGTAGTGGCCTGGCACGGCTATAGTGGCCTGTGTGTGGAGAAATGACCCTGGGGGACCTGGCTGTGTGGCTGCCTTTGGTTCTGCTGCTTCTCTGGTTTCCAGGTAAGGGGCTTTCTGCCTAGGAAGGGTCTGCATGGGGGATGGAGGGGGTGAGGCTGTTGGGAGGTGTCACGTGAGGTGCTTGAGCCTGGTTTGTAATGTCCAGAACAAAGAATGGGGTGTGCTCTGCTAACCATGTGAGAGGGACTGACTGAAGGACCGAATCCTCCCAGAAGGGAACTGACCAGGGTCTCCTCTGTGCCCACCTGACTTTGGAGAAGCCCCGTCAAGACACGGGGTGGGTGTGGAGGGAGGTTCCCGGGTGAATGATCAAGGACAGGACATACCAGACTGGGTGGACAGTGACTGTGCTGAGACACCTGAGGGGCAGGAGTTTGGGCATTTGCCAGCTTTGGGATATAGAGGAAGGGTGGGGACCGAGGAGGAGAAGGTCCCAGTCTCAGGCACATGGAAGTTCAGCCAGGGCAGCTCCGGGGCTGCTGCTGAGCACAGAAGGCCTGCGTGGAGTCAGCTGTCCCCAAGGAGGGGACATGGGACAGGCGAAGGGGGAAGGGTGGTAGGTTGGGCAGTGGGGGAGAGAAGCTGTGGGGAGAGAAGGGAGGACACCTTCTCCAGGAAGGCAGCAGAAGAAGTCTTCCCACCAAGGTCAAGGCCTCCTCCCCCAGATTTATCTCTGTGTCAACAGCAGTCACAGCCTGTTGCAAATAGGTCCCTTGAGCAGACAGTGCTGCCGCTTTGTTGGGCTAAGTTCCGGGACTTGACTCTTTCTTTTTTCTTCCTTCCTTCCTTTCTTCTTTCCTTCCTTCCTTCCTTCCTTCCTTCCTTCCTTCCTTCCTTCCTTCCTTCCTTCCTTCCTTCCTTCCTTTCTTTCTTTCTTTCTTTCTTTCTTTCTTTCCTTCCTTCCTTCTCTTTCTTTCATTCTTTCTTATCTTTCTCCTTCCTTCCTCCCTCCTTTCCTCCTTCCCTCCCTCCCTCTCTCCCTCCTTCCTTCCTTCCTTCCTCTCTCCCTCTCTCTCTCTCTCTCTCCCCCTTTTCTTTCACAATGCTAGGGTTTGAACACAGGCCCTTGCACTTGCTAGGCAGGTGCTCTACCACTTAAGCCACACCTCCAGGCCAGGAAAGATTTATTTTAATGAGAACTCAGAATTTTTTTTTTTTTGAGAAAGAGTCTCATTATTTTGCCCAGGCGTGCCTCCTGGCACCCTCCTGGGTGCTGTGATTACAGGCATGACCCACCACAGGTGACTAGCAGTTTAGGTGGCTTTTCTTATAAACTGGATGCCTTCCTAATTACATTTACTGGATATGCATGAGAATTGTCGACAGGAGAGCTGTCACTTTGGGTATGAGTTTGGAAGCCCGTCACCCTCTCACTGCTGCTAGCTCTCTGATTCTCCTGGTTGTTTTGTTTTCATAGCATCTGTGTGTGCTGAGATCTTTGGCTCCTTCTGAAATCCATTTCTCTGTCACTCCTTGACCCAAGGCAGAATGTGCCTGGTTCCTGTCTTCCCTGTCTCAGATGGTCATATTTCCCAGAAAGAATGAAGCAGCTATACACTCATGTTTATTTACAAAGCAGTTCAAAACTTATTATCGTGGTTGTCACCATTTTGCAGTGATAGGAACGGAATCCAGGGACCCACACATGCTAGGTGAGCAGTCCACCACTGGGCTACACCTCCAGCCCCAACAAAGTGTTTTAAAACAATAGCAATGGCTGTGGGCCGTGGCTGATGCTTTTTCATTATTTATGGAGCTGAATTATGGTGAATTATATGAAGAGATTTGGCTAGATTCTGTCTCAATATATGATTTTGACTATTTTCTCTAAGTGTTTAAGCAAAATTGGAATTGTTAGTTCCTGGAATGTTTGGCAGTAGTGCTCCTTTATTCTTCCCAGAAGAGAACAAACTCCTCGATAATACTCATTGTTGTTGGTCTACAGCTAAGAAAACATCTGGTGAGCAGAGTGGCTTTAATCCCAGCTATTCAGGAAGTGGAGATCAGGAGGATCAAGGTTCAAGGCCAACCCCAGCAAAAAGTTCAAGAACACTCACTCAATGAAAGCTGGGTATGATGGTGCATGCCTGTCATCCCAGCTAAGTGGGAAGTGTAAACAGGAGGATCTCAGTCCAGGCCAGCCTAGGGAATAAATATGAGGCCCTATTAGAAAAATCTAAAGTAAAAAGGATGGGGGTGTGGGTCAAGTGGTAGAGCACCTGCCCAGCAACTATAAGGCTCTGAGTTCAAAGCCTGTATTGGTCATTTGTGTACTCCTAGAAAATCACCAGTTTCATCTAGGTTTATAGACTTATTTGCAGAGGCTTGAAACTAGCCTGGTTATTTTTCCTGTTATTCGTGCATTTGGGTTTGGGTTTGGATTTGGGTTGTTGTCTCCTCCCTCTTCTCCCCTCTTTTCCTTCTTCCTTGATTTGGGGACTTAAGGAGGATTTAAAAAGCTGAAAGAACAATCCTGGGGCAAGACTGGGGGTCATGGGCAGGGTGGAGTGTTGTCCAGGTCAGGGAGAGGAGCCCAGACCCAGACAAGGAGTTGGCAGGAGAAGTGGGGAACAGCATCAGGACTGCAGTCAGGACCATACTCTTAAAGAAGAGTATGGATTCAGTACTTTGTGCCAATTTTAGTGATTTGCAGTTTTCTAGAAAATCACACATTTATCCAGATTACACAGTTATTTATAGAGAATTTATGTGATATTGGTGATATTGGGGTTTGAACAGAGAGCCTCGTGTTTGCTGGGCAGGTGCTCTACCACCTGAACCATACCCACAGCCCTTTTTGCTTCTAGTTACTTTTCAGATAAGCTCTCGTTTATGCTTGGGCTGGCTGGAACCATGGTTCTCCTATTTAAGGTTAACATTTCCTTGGGATGACAGGTGTGCACTACCATACTCAGTTTTTATTGCTTGAGATGGGGTCTTGAGAAATATATGCCTGGACTAGCCTCAAACTTCAATCCTCACTATCTCAACCTCCCAAGTAACTAGGATTACAGGTGTGAGCTGCTGTGCCCAACTTTTTTTTTTTTGTTGGCAGTACTGGGGAAGTGAACTCCCCACTTAAATTCTTTTCATTTTCTCTCTTCATTCCCCATTCATGCCAGACAGGGAGTTATCTATTTTTATTAGCTCAAATCATGTGAAATTCCTGTTTTCTTGGTCAAGAACAATTTTTGTGGTTCAACCTAATATTATTTGTCAGACCCTTTGCACCCATGACCTTCCTCATTCAACACCCCTCAAATGGCATGTTAGGTAGTCATGATTATCTAACCACTCTGCAGAAGAGGCATCTGAAGCTCAGAGAGGGTAAATAACTTGCACTAAAACACACAGCAGATGCATAATAGAGTGGAGGCCCCTCCAGTTTCACCTTGGCAATAGCTACTGAGCTTCTCAGTGAATGTTGCACCTGTGACAAGGCTTGGAAGTCTTTCTCTGCAGGGGATCTGCACTCTCAGGTTGAGAGGAAGGGTCCTACTGGGCCTCTGGGGGAGGGAACCCAAAGCTGAGGATCGGCTTTGGGCCGCCGTGCACTCAGATTGTGGAGCCGCTGGGATAGAGCCGAGCTCATCTTGAATATTAATTGAGGGTCTGCTATGTGGGCACTGGTGGGCACTGAGGGGGTAAGAAGGAGGCCTTTGCTCCCTGGATCTTGCATTCAGAGGTCCAAAGTCTCAGGTGAGACTTAAGAACTTTAAAAAGTTAGTAAGATGAGCCAAGCATGGTGACTCACGCCTATAATCCTAACTTCTTGGGAGGCTGAGATGCGGAGAATCGTGATTCGAGGCCAGCACGGGCAAGAAGTTCATGAAACCCCATCTCAAGGGAAAAGCTGGGTGTGGTGGCAAATCCCTGTCACCCCAGCTCTGGCGGAAGTGTAACTAGGAAGGTTACAGTCCAGGCTAGCCCTGGGGGATAAAAGGAGATCCTATCTCCAAAATAACCAGAGCAAAAGGGCCAGAGACATGGCTCAAGTGGTAGAGTGCCTGCCTAGCTAGTTCAAACCCCAGTACCATCAAAAAAAAAAAAAAAAAAAAAAAGAATTAAAGGGAGGAAGCCAGCCACCCCAACCACCATCCCCTCCTCCCGATGACAGGGTGACAGGGTGTGAAGGGAGATGAGTGTACACCCACTCCGTGTCCTTTGGCCGGGGGCCAGCTTGAGTCCTATGCTGGTGGCAGCATTAGTTTCAGGCCATCGTCATCTTCCCCCAGCTCTGTGTCCAAGAACTGTTTGAGAAAATGGCAGACATAAATCCTGGGAATAAAAACTTAACTACATAAAAATTAAGTTCATCAGAGCGGGGCCAACTGAGGTAAGTCAAGCTGAAGTGAGGGTCATTGTCACTGAGCCCTCTGTGCTCGTGATCCTTTGGATCGACACTCTTGTTTTTTGGTAGGGCTGGGGTTTGAACTCACGGCTCTGCCCTTGCAAAACAGGTGCTCTACTGCTTGTGCCGCACCTCCCAATTCTTGATCCACACTTACCAAGGGCGCACGGTGCTCTTGTCAAAGTGGCCATGGTGCTTAGGCCCTGGCTCACCTTCCCTGGGGACCCAGATGGGCGTGTGGCTATTCTCACTGAGCTGCCTGGAGCCATGGTGGCCCTCCCAGGAGAGCCACCTGAGCAGGCTCAGGGTGAGTGCCCATGGTCTTGGTGTGTTTGGAAGCAGGAGACTCTGGTCGGTGAGAGGGCTTGGGGACTGGGGTTGAAAGAATAGGCTTCTATGTTGGAGCCTTGGGGTGACAGAGCAGAAGGGGAGGTGCTGAGGCATGGGGACTTGACTGATGAGGGGCTGATGTGAGGTGAAGGAGTGGGGCAACTTTTGGAGGACCTGACCCCATGGCACCCCTGACCCTGCCCACCTGTGAGGGCCCAGCATTGGGGCTGTGTTTTCCAGGCTGTTCTGCTCTGACTGGCCCCAGCACAGTGACGGGCACTGTGGGAGAATCCTTGAGCCTGCAGTGTCAGTATGAGGAGAAATACAAGACATTCGACAAATACTGGTGCAGAAAGTCAAAGTCATTCTCACTAATTTGTGGCGAAAAAGTGGAGATCAAAGGCTCAGAGAGCAGAGCGAGGAAAGGCCGGATGTCCATCACAGACCATCCTGAAAACCTCACCTTAACAGTGACATTGGCGAATCTCACCCTGAAGGATGCTGACTTCTACTGGTGTGGGATCAGTACACCATGGATCGAAGGAAGGGATGACTCCCTCAGGGTACAGGTGTTTGTGATTCCAGGTGAGCCCTCCTCCAACCAGCACCAGGGCTGCTAAAGAGGCTGAGGTGGGAGTAGCTGGGGCAGGAATCACATCTGAGCCTGGGATCTGTGTGTGCATGCATGTGTGTGTGTGTGTGTGTGTGTGTGTGTGTGTGTGCGTGTGTGTGTGTGAGACAGAGACAGAGAAGGCAGGGGAGGGCTGTAAGGAGTCATCCTGGAGTAGTCAATAGCTCCACTCAGTCTCAAGGTGGAAGTTGTACTTCAGGTGTCAGAAGCCAGGAGAGAATAGAGCATGCGTGCAGGGGAGAGCGAGCCCCCCGGGTCAATGAAGGGCCTGCGTGCAGAAGAAGCTCAGACAAGTAATGACTTAGATTTGCATCATATGGCCAAGGTTGGAGGAGCACCACACAGGGAGGTGACTCGGGGCCCTCACCAGCAGGACTGAATAGGGCTGTTGGGGGCCCTGTTTGGAAAGGCTCACATGGCCCGGGAGGATCCTGGGAAGACACTGGCCCCAGGTGCCCCAACCTGCTCCTTCCTGAGTGAGCAGGTATAAAATCAGTCCAAAATGCCAATAGTGGGAGTCGAGGATCGAGCCTGGGTCTGATCCCATGGTTTTGCCACCAGCATCAACGACAAGTATCCCAGAAGACAAAACCTGGACAACCACAACCACAACCACAACCAAAGCTGTGCCATTCACCAACGTGGCAGCAGAGAGTCCTACCCAAGAATCCAGCAGCCAGGAGGACTATCCTGAGAGCCAGGGCTCAGGGTAAGCACCCAGTCTCTGACCAGCAGGTGCACACCTTCTTCTCAGGAGGATGTTAGGCTGGTATCAAGGCCACGGGGTGCCCTTTGCCCCAGGCCCAGGTAGGAAGCTGTAGGCTGTGCATCGTAGTTTAGTGGACTGGCCTGGACTGCTAGAAGGGGGCTCAGGCCAAGGAGGAGCCAGGGGTGGTGGAGGAAGGAGAGCAGGAGTTAAAGAGGGCGGGTGACATCCTGCCAGGCATGGTGCAGGGTTTCACAGGAATGTTCTCTCTGAATGTCACCATGCTTGTTTCACAGATAAGTAAACTGAGGCTCTGAGGGGTTAAGCAATTGGCCAGGTTGCATAGCTTCAAGGTAGAAGAAGGCAGGCCAAAGTCTTGGGCTCTTCCTCTAAATACAGGTCCTCAGTCTTTCTGAAGCTCATCAACCCCCAGAGAATCTAACAGCATCTGCAGACTCTCCTGAGAAAATGAATGTGGTCACAAACATTTCTGGGGTTCATAGATTTCCCATTCTGACACTACTGGGTGCTGCAATTCCATTCTGGTACTGCTGCTTGGAGTTAGTGCAGATCTTTCAGGCTGAGGATTCTGGCCACCACAAGACCCCTTCATGTAGTCCAATCACACTTTGGGGAAGCCCAGGCCACCCCACTTCTGACTTCTGGCTGCAGATTTGGGTTCCCGTGACTTCCTCGGGCTCATTAATTCATTGGACTCAGAATTCCGCAAAGCAGAGTTACAGGTTCATCGTGAAGGATAAAGATCAGGATTGGCTTTACAAGGCGACAGGTAAGGTGAGGGCTGCAGGGGTCCCAAACAGAGGTCCTGTATCTCCTGCACTGGGAGCAGTCAGGGAATGTCACTTTCCTGGGATCTTCATGTGCCTGTCCACCAGGAGCTCCTCCCATCTCCCTTGTCTGGGTTTCTATAGGGGTTTCACAACTTTGGGGTGATCAGTTGAATCATTGGTCATGGATTCAATCTGATCTCCAGCCCGTATGTTCTTTGGAGGCTGGCCTCATCAGAGCCCATGCCACATCTCTGGTCCCCTGAGCTGACATGTCATCACTAATAGCAACTCAGGTGAGATCCACAAACAAAGGTGCTCCTAATAATTTGGGAAATTTCAAGATTTTAGAGCCTCTCTCCCAGGACAGGGGACACAGGCCAGACACATAACTCACTACTCCCCCTGCCCCTCAAGCCATTCCACATACTTCCTACCAACCCAGAGTCATGGTGCTTATATCGACAAAGCAGAATTCAGCCCCAAACATGCCAGAGTTTACCCGCAGACACCACGATAGGCAGAGTGCAGAGCTCAGCTTTGTTGGGGCCTGAAGCAAGTTGTGTGTGTGTGTGTGTGTGTGTGTGTGTGTAGACCTAGAGGATGTATAGATTGGGGTGTAGACAATAGACATCATACTGTCTATCTTTTTAAAATATTTGACTTTATTTATCTATTTAAAAGGTCAGGAAAGGGCTGGAGATGTAGCTCAGTGGTAGAGTGATTGCCTAGCATACAAAACAAACCCAGAAGTCAGGGCAGGCAGGTGCCCCTCACCGCCCACGCCTTCTCTGCAGGCCTCCCGTGTGGTGTCCTTGTTAGCACTTCTGCTGCTTCTGTTGGTGGGGGCCTCACTGCTGGCCTGGAGGATGTTTCAGAAACGGGTCAAAGGTGAGTTCACTCCCTGCACGCCTCTGCCCCGTGCCCCAAGGGTGGGGCAGGCCCTGGTCATAGCCTCTCATCTTTAGTGCTCTGTCCTGTTCCTCAGACCACACATACAGGCCTCGGAGTTGGTATCCCTGGGTGTGGTGGTTACAAGTGAGGGAGGCCTTTCCCATTAAGGTATGGAGGTTGATGGTTGCCCCATGAGCAGTGTCCTCTTCCTATTAAAACCTTCACATGGCCTTCCAGGCTCTCAAAATCCTACCCCAACAGGGCAGTCAGGCCTCCACCATGTGGCCCTGCCCACCTCTCTCTCAACCCCACTCCTTGCACCCTGGAAGATCCCTTCACATGGCTGCTTCTGACTTGGCAGGAGTCTCAGCTCCAGTGTCTCCTGGGTTTGCTGTGAGTACCCAGAATGCTACCCTCCCTTCTCCCTGACTTGTTTCTTTTGGACTCCAAGGGCAGTTTTCAGACTTCCCCCTCCTCCCCTCAGTCCTTTACTTTGTCCCCCAAGAGTGACCTAGTGCTTCTCCTGAATCTTGGCTGTCATCCCCGGCTTTCCTGGCCATCTTCCCGCAGGCTGGGCACTCCTTCAGGCCCTGGCCATGACTCCAGAAGGTTCACAGTCAACATCTGCTGGATTATTGTGTTGATTAATAACTCCAGCCACACAGGCACCCCAGGAAGCTCCCGGCATCCTGAGTCCCATCCTTTTCAGAGTGCAGATCTACAGAGAGGACATGTATAGGGTGTGTCTGGCACAAGTACAGGTACTCAAGTACAGAAACAGGGCAGGAGAAGTGGCTCAAGTGGTAGACCTCCTGGCTAGCAAGCATGAAGCCCTGAGTTCAAACCCCAGTACTGTGCCAAAAAAAAGATAAGTATTGATTCAGAGGGATGGATGGAGGTGTGGCCTCATTGTTACTGACTGGAGGCTCCCAGTCACCTCCAGGAGGTCCCAAGCCTCCTGTACTAAGATTTCATTATCTCATAAGCAAAGGTGTCAATGGCCATGGGTGAGGTCTTAAGGAGATTCCTGAAAGAAGACAGGGATTTTCAGCTCTTAGCTTCTTGTCTCCAAACTCTGAGTAAGAATTTTCAGGCAGACATAGGGCAAGAGACTATGACTTAGTCATAGGACTAAGAGATTATGAGAAGCCTAGGAGAACTGATGTAAGCAAGGCTCTCGAGATGCTGCTTATTTGCTTTTACCTGCAGGCCAAGATAGGCACAGCCCCGAACATGAAACAGGGAAAAGCAGAACAGCTGTGTCTTCTAAGTTGTGTTCAGAGAAGCAGGAATAAAAAGACCCGCTGAAGGGGAGCGCAGAGCTTTTGCTTTGAGAACTTTTGCTTTGGGGGTTTTTTGGCTTTGGCTTTTTGCTTTGGAGCTTTTTGGTGTGGGAAGCTTTTGGAAGGGAAAAGAATTGCTAAAGAGGGGTTGATAGAAAGTCTGCACCGAGAGCTTCATATACAGACCTTAGAAAGCTAAGCTAAAGAAAAGCCAAAGAGAACATGGGACAGTGCACAGTGCAAGTCTAAGGACTGAGACCTTAAGGGTTTGCATGTGCAGTTTTTAGGCACTGCTGGTGTTTGCAAGTCTGAGCACCGAGGCTTTAAGAAAGCTAAAGGGAGATGGGACAGTGCAAGCCTGGGGGCAAAAAACTTTAAGAAAAGATTAAGCTAAGGAACGGCTAAGAGAAAACGGGACAGTGGAGTCTAAGGAAAGAGGTTTTAAAGACTTTAGTAACCAGGTTTTAAAGAGCTGCAAGGAGTAAGACCTTAAAGAATAAAGACAGAGAAAAGAAGCAATGAGGGTTAGGAGTCTCCACCAGGGCACCCAACACACCTGACTCCACTTTCTGTTTGTCTGTCTTTTCTGAATCTCCAGTCATTCCCAGTTAGCCCCAGTTAGCCCCAGTTAGGTTCGGTAATAACCAGAAGCAAAGAGAGAAAGCTCGCTCTAACAAGGGAGGGAGCACGAGGAACAGTACCCCCTCCAGAGACAAAGATTCACTCGGCAAATAAAGCAAAAAGGACACATGCTTCATAGGCAAGGCAGTGGGGTTACAGGAAGGGACAGTATGCACCAGACATGGGGTGGGCCCATGAAAAGAGGTGTGACGAGCCTTCTAAAATTAGGAGTACTCATGCTAGGTACAACAGGGCAGGGGGAGAGAGGTTTGCATAAAAGCACTCCCAGGCAAGGTGTGGCCTGGATGGTCATGAACTCAGTTCTGGTTCTGGAGAAGTTACTGCTACTGCTTCTATCACTTGAGGGGACACTCTGGTCCCCAGGAGTTGATTCCTCCTGCTCTGGGGTGCAGCCTCTTCACTATAGGAAATTGTCCTCATTTGGGGAGCAGTCTATTCTTCAAGGTTTTGCTGTTCCTTGGGGATAGTTTTGATCCCTTGTTGTAAAGATGTCATAGATCAGTCCTGTTATTCTTGGCATCCAGAATGACTATAGGAGAGAGACTCAGAGCAAAGGAGACAGATGTAACATGGAGGCAGGGTTGCCAAGCTTATCTCCTGCTTTTAGTTAACTTGTGGGCCCAAGTGAGGATGCAGTGCCTTTTGGCAGAAATAATTAATAAGTACCCATTCTAAAGGGTTCCCAGGACAATCTTTCTAAATTTTCCTTCATTCCTTCCCTTCCTTCCTTCTTTTCTTCCTTCCTCCCTCCCTCCCCCTTCCCCTCCCCTTCTTCTTCTTCTTTCTCCTCCTCCTCCTCCTTCTCTTTTTCTTTCCTTTCTTTTCCTGTAACAGGACCTTGCTTTATAGTCCAGGCTGACATCACACTCTCAATCCTCCCACCTCCACCTCCTGAGTGCTGGGATTGCAGGTGTGTACCACACCTGGCCTCTCACAGCCATGTTGTCCATTGTTGCCAAAGCCTTTGGGGCTGCAGTGAGGCTGAGGTGGCAGAGATGGGGCTAGTGTATCCCATAGATACTGAACAAGCTGGTGCAGGCTGAGGGAGACGGCTGCTCCCTGGAGCCCCTGCTTTGGGAGAGATGTTGACCTCAGCATAGCTGTACACAATTCATAAAAGGAGAATCACTTCCTCTTTCCCATCTGCCTTGCTCTGCCATTGCCCTGTGCTCTGATTCTCAGCTTCAGATGCCACGTGGCCACTACTCACTCATGGGGTTTGCCCAGCCTGGGCTGCCTCAGCTCTTTGAGTCCCAGTGGATGCCTTGAGTGACCTTTCACCTACAAAGCCTCTGGCTCCTTAAACAGGCTCCTCCTGTTTTAAAGGAGGGACATATGACTGTCATAGGGAATTTGGAAAGTAAGTAAAACACCAAGAAGATGCTCCTATCCCCAGTGAAAGCCAACCGCTGACATTTGAGCTGTGTCCCTTCCAGTCCTTTCTCTGTGCCTGTGCATCCACACGAATTCTTAAAGAACTTGCTTTGTGATACACTTTATCTCTTAAACCTATCATTTTGCAATTAACATATGATAACTTTTTCCCTGCTATTAAAGACTATAGACCTGCAGCTGAGGTCTCTGGGGAAAGGCCTTTCTCAGACAGAGCATAGGGGTCCCCACCCTCCCCTGGTTCTGGGGTTCCACCTCCCTTTTCTCCTCTTGTCTTTAGCTGGCAAGTCTTCAGAGCTGTCTGGGAACCTCAGGCAGGTAAGTGAGACTATGGCAGGAGGTGAGACAGGGTGGCTGTTAGGGGGTGCACAGAGGACATTGAGGGTGTGGCTGGCCAATTCCATAGGCCAGTGGAGGTGACAGTTGTATCACATGAAGATGGAGCAGATACTCATTAGAACAGGAAGAATGATGCCTGGATATCTGGCCAACGTGTCCTGTCACAAATTCTGGCCAGTCTTCCCCCTCCCCACAGGGCAAATGGAAGAGGGAGGGACTTCCCAGCTAGACTGACACCGGGAGCACTCACTGCCTAGAGAGGGGGACAGGGTAGCAACAGCGTGGGAAGGTTGATGATGGCACCCTGGGTGTGGAGAGCAAGGAGTTGCCTTTAGAGAAGCAGGGACAGGGGCAGAGCTGGGGAGGGGCTCCATGGACACCTCCTGTCCACTGCAGGCTGCCGAGCAGAGTGAGCCCCAGTACGCAAATCTGCAGCTGCACACGTGGTCCCTGCAGGAAGAGCCCATGCCACCTAGGCAGGTAGAGGTGGAATACAGCACAGTGGTAAGTGTGAAGCCTGGTTCCCTGGCACATGGACCCTGGGCTATGTGGGGGCACCACATGGAGGGATGGGCAAGAGAGGGAAGAGAGGGGCTGGACCCAGGCTGGCCACACAGAAGACCAGGCAAATGGAGATTCAGCCCAAGTGGAGGCCCTTAGAAAGGCTTGGGGTCATAGTAGCTGGGGATGGGGTGTGTATGAAAGTGAAGCATTTATTAAGCACCTACCGTGTACCATACACACATGAGCAATCTGACATCAACTCTTCTTGTCAGGTTTCTATGCATGACCTGGTGCAGTCAACCTGTACAGTCACCTTAAATGGGATAATGGAGTGGGCCGCCCCTGGGGTGGAACCCACCATTAGTGGGGAGTTCAAGTAAGCTGGGGATAGACAAGCATCAGAAGGGGGCTGCCTGAAGAGACCTCCAAGTCCCCACCCCAGGCCTATGAGCCCTTCTCAGACATGCTGAGAAGCCATTAAGGCTGGTGAGGTGGGGAGGTAGGGTGGAGGTGAGAGGTTGGATGACACCATTGCTGGACTGCTCCAGAAAAGAACATCCTTTCTCCCTGGGATGTTCCGACCTGGCACGGTTTACGTGGGGCTGCTGCTCCTATTCTGTGCAGGGGAATCAGAGGATCTTCCCCTGCACTCCCTCTGAGTCCCCAAAAACCACGTCCCTCCCTGACCTGTCAGCTGCCTGCTGAGAGTGAGGTGTGGGCTGGGAGCCTAGCATCCCAGTGCTATTCCGGGGCCTCTGAGCAGCTGTCCATGTCTAGTTGCATGGTGGCTTCTGGCCACACGTCTGAAGGCTCCATTCTTGCCTCATGTGACATGGTCTCCTGTCCTCTAGGCCACTGGGACCAGCAACAGCTTGTCCTGTCTCACTTGGTGACTAATGATCTCGAAGAGGATTGGGGCAGGGTCTCACCTTCCACCTGTCCCTTTGGAACAAGTCAGGGCCTGTGCCCACAGCACAGCAAGTTCACCACAGAGCTGTAGAGCTGTGGAGATGCCTTTGCCACACAGGCTCTACCTAGAGGGCCAGGGGTTCTGTGCAGCCACTCCTGAGCCTGCTCTGCCCCACAGTTGAGATACCCGCAGTCCTCAAGGGAGCACAGAGGCATCTTGGGGGAGCCCCACCTACTCTGTAAACTTCTCAAGGCCTCAGTCTCCTCTTTTTTTTTTTTTGGCTGGACTGGGGTTAGAACTCATGAACTTGTGCTTGCCAGGAAGGCACACTTCCATGTGAGCTACACCCCCAGCCTTGTAGAATGGACCGGCTGGGTCAGCCCTGAGGTCCCAGGGATTTGGGCTGTAACTTGACCAGTTGGGGAGGGGCATGTGAGCAGGCAGGATCACTGAGTCCAGTCCAGGAGAGAGAAAGAGACCAGGGCAGTGAGGAGGCTGGAGCCTCCACTGTGAAGCCTCCGCAACTCCCTGGGGAGCCCTTCCTTTCCCTGCCTGTTCCTGAGCCTGGGCTCCCTCCCTGCAGGCATTCCCAGCGGATGACCTTCACTACAGCTCCGTGGTGTTTGACTCACAGAAGCAGAATTCCAACACCAACGGGATATCCTCCCAGAGGCCCAGGGAGGAAATGGGGTACAGCGGGATCTGCAAGCCCAGGGACAGTCCTTAGCCCTCACTCTTCCCCTTGGCCTGCTCCCCTCCTTGGTGACCTCCAGACTCCTGAGCTCCCTGCAAACTGCTTCTCCACTGCATCAGCCCAGCTGGCCTCACCAAGGACAGGTGGGAACCAGGGTTCTGCAGGGGCAGCAGGAAGCACTTCCGTCCATCCCCCTGTCCCTCCAGCTCCTTCTTAGCTCTCTTCCTTCTGGTGCTGTGTGGAGGGTACAGCTCAGTACTGTACGACTCACATAGGATAGCACCTGCAGTTAGCTTTGTAAATCTCAGCCCCCCTCCCCGTAGGAAATTCTGGGGTTGCTGGGGAGTGGGGGAGAACTGGCAAGAAAAGTTCTCTCCCCATCTCACAGATCAGGAAACTGAGCTCCAGAGAAGAGCCTGGCCATGGCTCCAGACTCAATGGCAGGTTCCTCTGGATTCTTGGATTAATTTTTAATATAAGAAATGTAAATAAAGTTCAGAACACCTTCTTAAAGAGACAAGAAGAGTTATTTAAATGATACCCACAATCCTGGCTTTGATGCCACAAAGGAGTTTTGCCGGTACAAAGCCTTGGGGACATCCTGTGAGGTGTCATCTTTGGGTAGAAGAGGGTCAGTCACAGCTGCCCTGCCCTGAATGGAAAACTTTGTAGTCTTGCCAGTGCTGATGGCTCACGCCTGTAATCCTGGCTACTCAGGAGGCAGAGATCAGGAGGATCTCAGTTCGAAGCCAGCCAGTGACTAGTTCTCGAGCCCCTATCTTGAAAAAAACCCATCACAAAAAAAGGACTTGGCAGAGTGGCTCAAGTGGTAAGAATGCCTGCCTAGCAAGCCTGAGACCTTGAGTTCAAAACTCAGTGCTTCCAAAAAATAAAAAATTTTGTAGTTTTCTTGCCAGGAAGATTTCGAATTGGAAGCAGTGACCTGGGCTGTCTTGACGGCTGACATTACAACCAAACGGGGCCTTTGGGGTGTTGTTTTCTCAGGGACATGTGAGCCTGTGACTATCAGAGGCTTCTTCAAGGGGTAAGTGGTTCCCAAAGGGCCTAGATCTGCCGCTGCTCTGGTTGGTGACTTCCCTGATTTTAAGTGATTTATGCGTGAGTAACCATGAGTCATCCCAGATACTCCTCCCACACACACACACACACACACACACACACACTTTTTCTTTTTTACTAATTTTCTGAGACGCAAAAGGGGAAGTGTACCCACACAGATACGCACACACACGTGCCCAAAGCTGGGCCCGCCGTGTGTGGGAGGGACTGGGTCTCAGTGGCAGGGGACAGCTCACAGAGCCTTAGGACGCTGTCGGCACTGCCTTGGCCTCAGCCCCAAGCCAGCCTAGGTGAGGGTCTTTTGCTTTGAAAGACCAGTGGGCGCTGGGCTTTGCAGATGGAACCCATTTACCTACGGAGGTAGTGGGGAAGCTGTGGTCAAAACTAATACAGGGTTGGGCCCTAAGGCAGCACAAGGGACAAATTCAGTGCACTTGGGTGACCAAAATTGGGCTGTAAAGTAGGGGGAGTGGGAGGGGAAGGCGGGCCCTGCTTCCTGGTGTGAGTCACTCCACTCAGGGAAAGCCCACCGCAAAGCCCAGTAAAGCCCGTTTGCCCTCCCTTTATTTACTTCTCTGCCTTACCAGTCTCCACGCTATCTGGGGTTGACCAGCCCAAGGGCGGCGTGCTTGCTTTATCCCTCCTCCCTCCCTCCCTCCCTCCCTCATTCCTTCTTCTTCCTTCCTTCCTTCCTTCCTCCCTCCCTTCCTCCCTCCCTCCCTCCTTCCCTTCCTCCTTCCTTCCTTCTTTCCTTCCTTCCTCAATTTGCTCAGGGTCAGAAGGACACGTGACACAGTCCCTACTGCAGACGAATTTTCAGGCTTTGAGGGACACAGTCCTTCTCCACTAGTCCCCTAGCTTTGGGGCTGTGGACCAGGGAAGGACCACCTCTGCTGTGCTTGCCCTCCATCTGCAAAGAAGGGTAACAGAAGATACCTTGCCGTTGAAGCAGAAAAGCTGGACATTCCAAGTGTAAGCTAGGAAGCCCCCTTCAGGGTTGATGGCACTGCTAGTTAGTTATGTTAGTTATGTTTAAGGTGACATCTTCTCTACACTGGCTCAGAGTGAAGCAGGAAAAAGAGTCAGGTGGAAATGGCTCCTTCTTCAGCATCCCCACGTGAGCACACTCTCTCCATCCAGAATAGGAAATCTGTGTCCAGTTGCAAATTTCAGTGGTGCCATCTTTTGAGAATTACTGTTGTTCTTGAATGGTGTGTGTGTGTGTGTGTGTGTGTGTGTGTGTGTGTTTTCAGGAAGTCTTCAGAGAGAGAGAGAAAAATGTGAAGAGTTGTCAGAATCAAAACAGAGTCTCCTTATGTCAAACCCTAACAAAATAGAGTCCAGAGTCCATTGTCTTAATCCACTTTCTGTTGCTATAACAGAATGCCTGAGACTGGGAAATTTATAGAAAAAGAGTTTATTCTGGCTCATGGTTCTGAATGTTGAGTGGCTACACATCAGGTAGAGGCCTTCCTGCTGGTGGTGGGTGGGGGTTACTGCAGAGTCTGGAGGTGGCTCAGAGCATCATATAGGGAGAGGGGTACATATGACAGACAGAGCCAAACAGGCTTTTTTTAGCAGACCCACACTTGAGATAACCCGTTAACACATCAGCCCATGACCTAATCACCTCTTAAAGGTCCCACCTGGTCCTACCTCACAACAGGGACTAAATTTCAACATGCATTTTGGTGGGAACATTCAAGCCGTCCACAAAGGGAGGTTCTCACATATATATATGCCTGATAAAAAGAACTGTAACAAAAGAATGTGCCAAGACCACAGCTTTGCACACGAAACCACAGCCTCACAGGCCACGCCTGCCTTGACATCTCCCAGAGCTGCCTGTTCAGCTTGGTGCTGAGACCACCCTCGTTGTTGATGATGGTTCCAGAACAGCTTACATAACCTTCTTCGCCCTTCTGAATCTGTCGATGGCCTTTGTGGTATACCATGTCATGTGCACCCCATGTGACAATCTCCTGCCGCTCCCAATCAACTCTTTTCTTGAGAGCTTATTTGGAGGTTCTAACAGGGGAGCACACTACTCATATACCCTAGACTGAAGAATGGTTCTCTGTGGAGGAAGCACAGCTTCGGGAAGAAGGCATCGGGAGTGGTGAGGGAAGAAGGGGACACCCGCCTAGCCAGCCAGGGGATAGAATCCAGGGCCTTGTACTAGGCCAGTGTCCTACCACTTGAGCAGCATCCCAGTCCCAGCTCTTTTGTGTTAGAGAGACTGTCTCTCCTGTTCATTTTCAGTGAACAAAAGATACTTCTTCACATCATGCAAGCAGAGACCCCAAAAGGGACAGGATTTGGAGTGACCCAACCCATCTGGGATGCCTGCTAAGGAGTCTCTGTGGCTGACAGAATAATGAACTCCAAAGATCTCCATACTTGCAAGGTGCTGGTGGCTCACGCCTGTAATCCTAGCTACTCAGGAGGCAGAGATCAGGAGGATCGTGGTTTGAAGCCAGCCTGGGCAAAATAGTTCATGGAACCCTATCTCAAAGAAAAAAAAAGTCACCAAAACAAACAAACAAACAAACTGGGGTAGTAGCTCAAGGAGTAGGCCCTGAGTTCAAACCACAGAACCACATATACTCAATCCCCAGCATCTGTGGATACATTTTTCTACATCAGAAAGAATTTTACACATGTGATATGGCACATGTCTGTGGAGAGGAAGGAGAAGGCTGAGTTATCCAGATGTGCCCAGTGAACCATAGGGGTTGGGATAAGAGAGAGAGAAGAGGGTCAGAGTTAGAGATGTGGTGACCAAAGCAGGGGGGCTGAGAGAAGAACAGGGGGTGAGGCTTAAAGGTGCTGTGTTGGCTTTGCAGATGGAGGAAGGGGCCAAGAGGAAAGAAATTCAGGTGGCCTCTGAAATGGGAGCAGATAAGCAAGCACGTTCTCCCTTAGAGCTCGGGAAGAGCACAGTCTGCTGACACCTTGGTTTTAGGAGTTTTGACCTCAGAACTGTGAGATCCTGAATCTTTGTTGTTTTTTCTGCAGTCACAGGAAACAGGAGGCTGCTAACCTAGTTTGAATACCTCAGCGACCGGCCATTGTGTCTGCCTAGAGATGGTGCTGGTGGCAGCCCCTAAGCACAGGGGTGGGGACAGACATGGGCCCAGGGAGGGCTGGCATGCGAGTGTGGACTTCAGCAGTGAGGAGACAAGCCCCCAGGGAGAAGCAAGTCACCCTGGCTGGCTGAGGAGATCCTGGGAGGATTTAATTTCTCCTGGTGAAAACCACACGGAGAATCCAATCTTAATGGGATTTTCCAATGTTCTCATGGCACCCAGAGTCCCCAACTCTCACGTCTGTCACACGAGTGCATTCCCAGGTTGGTGTGGTTGTGGGAACAGTCAGGGAGGTAGCATAAGTACAGCCTTGTGCACCTCACCCATCTCCCTGAGGCCACCCAGGCAGTGGCAGCAGTGAGTCCTGGACAGAGGGACAGCATTGTGCAGGAGGACAGACAGCCCTGGAGCTGCAGAAGGGGCTGGGGAGGGAGGCGAGGTCAGACCTGTTGGGAGAGCTTAGCCTCCTCTCCCTGAGTGTGAGAAAGGAGGCCCGGAGTCGGGTGCAGACAGGTCACAGGCGAGTAACAGTTTGAATGTTTCTGCACCCCCAAGTTCACTTGCTAAGATCTAATCTCCCATGCGACAGTACTAAGAGGTGGGCCTTTAAGCGTGATTAAACCATGGGGCAAAGCCCTCTGGGTGGGATTAAAGCCCCTATAAAAGGGGTTGAGGCTGAAGAAGAATCCTTCTCTCTCCTTTTCTCTCTTGCCCTTCTGCTTGCTACCATGTAAGGGCACAATGTCCCCACTCTGGAGAAGGATGCATAAATCAGACCCTGCCCAGATGTGGCAGGAAGGCGGGGAGGAGGAAGGGAGTTGATGAATGTACGGTGAAACAAAAGACAAACTAGAGTTAGGGAAGGTTATCTAGAGACCAGAGAAGGGTCACCTCACCCCAGAGGTTAGAACAGCCCATGAAATAACATGTGACTATGTATGGGACAAGCTGTCCCCTCCCCCCAGTTTCTGTAACCTGCTCTAAAGGGCATACAAGGAAAGCCCCCTTTGTTGTCGGGGCTCAGCCTTGGACTGGAGTCCGCTGAGTCGCTGCTGGCTTGCTTAATAAGCTTGCTTTGGTGCCCTCTCTGTCTCCATCTGAGCCGTCCTGCAACCCAGATGCCAGCACCTTGACCTTGGACTCCAGCCTCCAGAACTGCGTGGTTACCTCTCTGTATAACCCATCCTGCCTGTGCACTCTGTGACGGGAGCGTGCGTGGGCGCGGATGTGCTGAGGTGCTGAGGTGCTGAGTGTGCGTTTGCATGGCAGGAGAGTGGGAAGCCCACAGGGAGGCCAAGGAGACAGGGAGGCTGGGCAGCCCTCGGCC